TGACGTATCCTTCCTTGATTCGTCAGCCACCCATCACATGAGGAATAGTCGATCCGTTTCCTGTTTACACCGGCACGCGCATGCCCAGTGTTGGTGAATGGTCACGTGATCCGCGTTTTCAGTTGTTTTAAAGGAGAACTTCGGTGCAAAATGAACCTTTTTATTTGGTCTAATAACACATCGGTACCTAGTCAACCGTTCTCTGAGATTTATTTTCAAGATAATCGAATGTAAAGAGCTTTATCTCTAAAAACGTTTAGCGTATAACGGTAGTAATGGGGGCATTTACTAAGTAAAAGGAAATCGCTAGTTAATACCACTAGCAAGGCTCAAAATAGCCCCACACTAACACAGTAACATAATGAGGGTCTGTACATGCAAAACGAAGCATTGAGAACTTTGTAAGTGTACAGACAGTTTAATAAGAAGATACTTTATGAAGACAGTTCACTTTGTGTACACAGGCAGAAGCCATCTTTGGAAAACAGTCTCGATAAATTGAACCACGAATGACTTGCCCAGTGAGCGGAACTGTATGAAGTTCAGTGAACTTCTGAACTGTATGAACGTCGTTCGTGGTTCGAGGCTTATCGAGGCTGTTTTCCAAGATGGCTCCTGTCTTTATACACGAAGTGGACTGTCTTTATAAAGTATCTTCTTATTAAACGGTCTGTACACTTACAAAGTTCTCAATGCTTCGTTTTGCATGTAGGGATTTCTAGCAATTTTTTTTACTTAGTAGATTGCCCCCAGTACTAGCGTATACGCTAAACAGTTTTTAGAGATGAAACTCTTTACGTTAGATTGTCATGAAAACAAATCTCAGAGAACGGTTGACTAGGTACCAATGTGTTATTAGACCAAGAGTTGTCCTTTAATGTGGACGGAGATCAATTCTAATACACGGTTAAAACGCTGGTGTGGACTGAGATCGTATTCGTTTTAATTCTCCGTTTTTAAACGAAAACGCAGTAGTGTGTGGACGGGGCCTTAAATTGATGTGCTAAAAATGAGTTGGCAAAATATAATGGGCAGCTATCATCAAGGGGCAGCAATGACAGGAAGGTGCCACTTTGTTCCTGCATTATAGATAGACCCCTTTTCATTTGGTAAACATGGTGACGTTTTTTTTGTGGGCGGAGCTTAGGTGGAGGCAGAACGATCCCTCTGGCCGCTTCACTAACGCTAGTTAGCAAGTACTGTTAGCTTGTTTTTTTTAACAATGACTGGAGAAAATCCAATTTTATCTTGATGTGTAAGGTCACTCAGTGTCCAGGACCGCGGTTGTTATTTCCAAAAGTTATTTTTAATGGACGGAACCAGATTGGCCGACCTGTAGCCGCCTACACGCTCACTCAATGCATGGACGATCTGACAGGGTTAAGGGTACGTTACCTCGGTTGAGTGGCCTGACTTCTACACCTACCTTATAGAGAAACTGAGGGCATATAAATCTTTAGATGCCTATAACTATATGTTCCTGTACAAGACTTGTGTGTACAGTCCGCAGTTCTGCCGAGCCAGCGCAGAGACCACGACAATGTAAACAGTGCGATTTTAATGACGTGAATATTTTCTAGAAATTAAAATTCCAGACACAGCATATTCATTTTCCATCAACATTTCCAGCCAACAAGATAACATTTTAATAATAGTAACAATAATTTAAGCTCCTTGTTATGTAGCCGAATCTGTGCTGGTTTGTATTGGCCGCCCCCAGTTTTCATTTTTTTTTTTTGCCTCCAGCTAGCGCCGTGACGTAACTGTGACGTCGGCGCAAAAGGGGTCTATTACTAATGAACTATAGATGAATGTTTGCACGTGTCGGTATATCTGTGGTTGCATATGCTAATGTAAATCAGTGGAAATTCTAGTCCGGGGAACCTTGTGGTTTAATCCCAGGCTGGGATTCCCAGCCATGTTGAATTATTTTATAGCAGTTCCCTGGAAGAAGGCAGTGCCTCCGGGGTTGTGTGTATAGCAAGAATATCCCCTGATCCCAGCCTGCTTTTCAGTTCCCATGTTTGAGAGGTTAAAGGACTATTTATGACTTCCTTGAGTCCAGATCTCTTGGGAGGAACCAGGCCCATATGGCCATCCAGCTCAGACAGGTTCTGACCCAGAAGCTCATTAGCTCTGTTCTGAATCGTGGCTCAGGTCTGCATTAATCTGTGTCTCTGGGCACAAAGAGGCTAAAAGGGGCTTGATGTTCGTGAATGGCTCATTGATGTGGCCTCTGCGGCCCCATTGTGTTTGAACAACTGTCAATTTTATGTGTACAGATCTGTATGTACTTTGGCACCAAGTTTGTTTGGAAGTGAGCCTGTGTTTGTGGCTCGTTGTGGCTGAGCATGAAACAGTGGCTGTATATCAGTTTGCATACTTTTGCTATGTGCTCGACTCGTGATGGGAAAGTACATGCTTTTGAGAAGGAAAACTTATCACATCCTAAAGTTGCATCTTACAGGGTTTTTCCTGGGTCAAAAATGGTCTTCAGTGGTGGCAGATGGACAGTGTCATCCACAGTACAAAATTAATCCAAAATAAATGCAATTAAACTCTTTGTAATATTAACTTATCCTTTTCCTTGTATTAAATCGAACAATGTAAAAAGTCAAGTGACCTGATTTAAAAACAACGAAGTAACGCATTATGTAAAAAATGTTTTCATTTTCAACTGATTATTTTAAATATGTCTAGTGCAAGCATATCCGTCTAAATTAATTCTCTTCAGCTTCAGAATAATGAAATTTCTTATTCTGGTGTCACCATTGTCCTGTATATTGGGTTAACAGCGCAACATTACTTTTTTTTTTGCTAACCTTTTACAATAGGCTGTCTTAGAGTATCACAATAATATTGTATGAGTTCAGTGTTGTGATATCGAATCGTGACATGAGTGTATAGTACACCCCTAGTAGCCTTCAAAATATTTTCAATACAGGATCAAAACCCTGATCGACTCCTTTGTCATGAACTGTCAGAGGGAATGCATTGACGTCACTTTCCCGCCGGAACAACCCCCCTCAGCATGACTGAGTGGCAAAAGATCTGCTGCGTGACTGGATTTAATAGGGGAGACGGCGGAAATTTAGTCGCATTTTATCAATTTAAACTAAATGTTGGACTCAATATAGTGTTCCTTACAACTTACTAAAGATCCATGGAGCCAGGAATCGTGTTGCCTGACATTTATGCTTGCCTGATTTAGACACCGGGGAAATAAAAGCAATATAGACCTAAAGCAATATAGGTAGGTCTAAATCCAGGTGATGACTTATATCAGTGTTATATAGCCTATATCATCTTATCGTTCAGCCCTAAAACTTTATAGTTTTTTTTTTGGTCAGTGTTTATTAAAAAACATCCAATAATGCAGAATATGCAATAAAAAATTTATAATTGATGAGTTGTTAATATATATAACAATACAAAATATATGGGTATGGTTTTACACCTAAATTCAGCATATTGACACAAAATGATAACTGCAAATTCACCTTTCGCTGACGAGTCCAGTTGTTTCTGTGAACTGCAGCAATCCATTTGCTCCTCTTTCTATAGCAGTCTGTAAAATATATACCTCCGATTTTTTTGTCAAATCTAGTTGTACAGTCAGTCGCAAAGCTCTTTCCCACTTTATATGTGGTGTTTGTTTTTTGCGGCATTCACGCTAAAAACAAATACAGCCGCTCAGTCTTTTTGCCACTCGTTGTGAGTAACTGCAGGCACTCCGCCCGACGGTGACATCACGCGCATACCCTTTATTAATATAGTTAATCGTTTTTTAATGAAACCAAGCCAAAATTTAAATAAAACAGAAAATTATACTACTAAATACGTTAAAAACGATTAATCGCGATTAATCACATCATTAACCGTGATTAATATATATTAATCACGATTAATCGAGGTGATTAATCGCGATTATTCGATCATATGTGGCTGTCAAACGATTAATCGCGATTAATCGCATCAATTAATGTCTTAATCAATGTGATTAATCGACGTGATTAATCGCGATTAATCATTTGACAGCCACATATTTATATATAAATAAGATCTTTTTTATATAAAATAATTATGTTAAAAATAAAGTTTATATTATGAGCATTATTTAGTTATTGCTCTTAACGTAAATGTTTAAAATATACTTTTTTTGGCTGGCAACATTTGACTTGCCTTTCAAATGCACAATAATGGTAATCACAATTCCACGAACATCACATAATGGTGTAGAGTATTGGTTGTGCTACTGTATGGAAAACAGAAGAGCTGAACTTTATGATGGGTTGTTAGTCTGGACGCTCGGGTAAGTTATGGAGAGTACAGACCTGTTTATTCTCAGACGTGTCTCTTTCGCTGCTTGAGGAGCTCGGCTGAGGTTTGGAGAAAAAGTCCCTGGAGGCTATATGTAGTTTACGTACAAATATGCCCAGACAGTTCCCTGCAGCAGTGTTAGCGCTGACACTTAGCCCGTGTGTGTTTTAGGAGATTATACATGAGTGTAACACGGTTAGCTCGTAAGCCTTCTGTTTGAACAGGCTGATACTGCCCTGCTGTAATCTCGCTCTGTTTGCTTTTTCCTGTATTGGTACAACAGAGCTTCTCCTCCGGACACTGAAGTGTGTGTGAGTGTTGGTACAACAGAAGCGCTCATCCTCGTGCTTAGTGTTGTTTAATGTAAACACCAGTGCTGAAACAAACGTGCTCAGGTGCTTTCAAGCGCTTGACGTGTGTCTGCGTAGTATCAGCGGGGATCAGACCTTGTTTGCCCTCATAGGAAAAGTAGATTTGCTGAAATGTGATCTAATTACAGATCGAGTAGCCTAAAGCTAGATGCTTTACGATATTTAACTACTGAATTGCTTCATTTAATGACATCATGTGAGATTGTAAGGAATAACGAATCTGCTTATAGATTTGTGAAAAACTTTCTTGGGAAATACGTAAAGGAAATTGACATGAGGGATTTCAATGCATTTTTCTTTTGTTTGTAGGTTTAAAGACGTATTTGATCTCGGGCCGGAAGATGGGCTCTCAGTGTGCCTGTTTCCAGCACAGTTTGGGCCGGGACTATGGCGAAATATTAAGTCCGTCCTCAAACACGCACACTCCAGATCTCACAGATCCCCTCTCACACAGCAAGGTACGTCCCTTAACACGCACAGAAATGCTGTTTTAATTACACAAATGATATTAAAGGAATAGTTTTAATAATTCTGTCATTATTTACTCAACCTCATTCCATTTTAAACCGTTTTTCAGAACATTTTTAAGTGAAATATCCTTTTTCTTTTTGTTGTTTATCTCTTTCCCTCTACAGCCTGTGTGTAGCATCTCTGTAGATGCCGTTGACAATCTGTTAGTTGATGAGGCAACTCGAAATGGCTGCCAGGATGAACATAGAGGCAACAGCAGTAAGGTATGTAACGAAACGAAACAGATAGGAAAACCAATAAACAAAACCTCAGTAAATTGCACAATGGAAGAACACACCTTGTTGCAAGAACCCAATGTACTCAATTTCAGCAGGTCTTCATAAGCAGAAATGCCAATCAGAGTAAATAATTAATGTTAGTTGTTTATAATTAGGAGTATTAAGCTGAGAGGTACTATGTACCTTTTAGTCCCAAGGCATCATTTTGACATGACGTGGCCAAAGCGCTGCTCCTTTCCATACACACTACTAAAGTTACATCATTTAGTCAACATTAGAATTGATTCCTGAACAAATGAATCTTTCAGACTGGTACTTTTTAGTAAATCAAGAACATACAAATGTGGCCGATGTAGTCCGATTCCCAAATGTATGACTCTTTTGAACTGATTCTTTTGCATTAGAACCAATTCCTTGATGACTGGCTTTTTTGAAGCAGTTCTTTTAATGAATCAAAAACCTACAGCCCGAACATTGCCATCAAATTCCCTAACAAATCTTTCGAACTGGTTCCTTTTAGTTAATATTTTCATCTGCTGCTTTTTAGTGATCTGCATTAGAACCAATTCCTGACAAATGGATCTTTTTTGAGGAATTAAAACGGTATTTCAAAAAAGGTATTTCAAACTGGTTCTTAATGAATCAGTGGCCAGTGTGGTCGTATGTCTCATTTGAGCAAGTTCTTTTTATTGATCTGCACTAATTTCTGAACATCAATCCAGTCCAAATTCTTGGATGTATGGCACTTTTGAACTGATTCTTTTTAGTGATCTGCTGTAGAACTGATTCCCGATGAATGGCTCTTTCGAACTGGTTCATTTTGATGAACCTACCAGTGGAGTCAAATTCCTGAATGAACGAATCTTTTAGAACCGGTCCACTGATTCCCAAAGAACGACTCTTGAGCTGTGTTTCTTTTGCACAGTTTCCTGCAGGCCGTAGCCCTAAAACCCTGAACGGGCTGTTGAGTCCTCTGTGCGAGGAGCGTGTGGGAGTCAGCCAATCGTCTCTGTGCGACAAACTGCAGGAGAAGGACAGGAGCTGGGCTGGGAGTCTGACCGCAGAAGGAGGCGGCAGCAAGGACCACTCGGCGATCCTCCCGCTGCGCTCCAAAAACTTTCGGGAGAAAAGTGACGCACAGTTTGTGGAAGTGATAAAGGAAGACAGGTGAGGGAGAGAAGATTCGTTTGAACCGTACTTTTGGAATTCAGTGTTTAATTTCTGTTCGTTCTTGTTCTCTCCAATATTATGTTTGTTTCAGTCTGATGAAGGATTACTTCTTCAAGCCACCCATCAACAAGCTGAGTTTGAACTTCTTGGAAAAACCTCTGGAGTCAGCGTACCGCACCAGCTACCACGAAGAGGTACATGCCAGGGTTATTATAGTTAACTAAAACCTCAAATAAAATATACTGAGGAGAACCGATTATGCCCTTTTACGAAGTCTTGTTTTGGGGGTCTGCTAGTATAGGTTTTCACGTTAACATTATTAACATAATAACATTATACACACAGAACATTATTTGCACATATTTGACATTGTTGCAGCACCTCTTTTCCCAGTCTGTCAGTAATGCTCTGCGCTGTTTCCCAAAAGCATCGTTAGCCAACTAAGGTCACAAGATCCGTTGTTACCAACATGGGCGTTTCCTGAAACCATTGTTCCAACGAACATTCTCAAACAGCATCGCAAACTTATGTCGTCAAGCTGTGATTACAAGCTTCTTGTTAAAATGACATGTGGACTTAAAGGCAATTTTTGGAACAGCTAGCAATAGCATGTTAGCTTTGAAAGCATTAAAATGGCCCTCCCTTCAGAGCGTCTCCAAAGCCAATGTGCAAATAAAGCCTTCTTAAAAACGCATGAACACGTACAGCAGTCTGCAAAGCTACTCTTTCGTTAAAATACCTCATGTCTCAAAGCACATACGTAACATTATGATAAAAATGAACATAACTTAAAGAGCTCTGACCTGTCCCAGATAGCAAACTGACATTGAATCAACGTGGAAACATGACATCGAAACAACGTTGATCTGACATTGTTTTGCTCATCGAATTAACGTTGAACCAACGTCAGACGCGTCATTCTTTCAAAACTAACGGAAAATCAACTTGAAATCAACGTTGTTTCAACGTTATGAAAGCAAACCAATTTTCGATTTTCATTTAGCTTTGAAGAATGCCGCGTCTGACGTTGGTTCAACGTTAATTCGATGAGCGAAACAATGCCAGATCATCGTTGTTTCGATGTCATGAGAGACGTCGTTTCCACGTTGATTCAATGTCAGTTTGCTATCTGGGGTACCACCTGACTGCTGCAGATTCATTTCACCGTTGATAGTGTTGCCATTGAATTGCGTTAAGTCACGAACCACTCCATGTATAACGTAAACGCAGCATCAGCTGGTTGTTTTGGTTCAGGAGGAACTGTTAAAGGCGGCTGCTGTTTTGGTCTCAGTGACTGACGTCTGACCGATATATCGACAGGCCGATATTATCAGCCGATATTAGGCATTTTCCAAACTATCGGTATCGGCAGTTATAATGGCCGATAAATAAATATTTCAAAAATAAAATAAAAAACGGACGAAACACGCTTGAACCATGTTATGAGTGTTGGAGTTGTATAGTTTGTCCACCAGAGGGCACTCTACAGCGTCCCTGTTGGCAACACTCGTTGAGTTGGTCACGATACATACATTGCTTGAAAAACAATTAAAACAACATCCCCATCAGTTCTTTTAACTCAAATAAGCATGACAAAATTTGTGACTATCATGTCCAGTTTTGCTGCAGTTAAATAAGTCGAGAGTGAAGCGGAATTAGCAAGTGATAGTTACGTTACGATTGTTACAGTGAAGTTGACTGACTGTCCTTTTAACTTTTGACAATGTGACTGAAGTATTTCTTTAATAGCGCGTGACGGTTATAGCAATGAGACGCATCATCTCTCCTTGGCCTGTTATATTGAAAATGTATGTTTTACAATTTGCAGTATGACAATCCATTGCTAAATTATGGCTCATCATAGACTAGCTAACCATAAAGCTAGCTAATGCCACTATCATCAGTCTGTTCTGTTGTGACGATAAAAGAACCACGTTTCTTTTTAAAATGCATTATCATATTGTTTTAGTTAACTCACAAATAACTAATGTTAGGAAAATCTGTTAATGTTTTGTTGCGCGTTTCTGAAAAAAACAACAACAAAAAAATATCGGCCGATATATCGGAATATCGTATTTTAAAACCATCGGTATCTGCCTTCAAAATCATTTATCGGTCGGGCTCTACTCTGCATAGCATGAAACACGCTGATGACGAGTGATGTCTAGAATAGAGTATAGAAATACTTATGTTGACTGGCAGATAGGACAGCGAACCGTTGCATTCGGACCAAATGCAATAATTTGACGAACATTTTATGGTCCTATGCCTTCCACAGATGATATATAAATGCATTTAGACCACTTAGCCTAGTGATTGCTATAAGGATGTGAAGAGCCTTTGACCTGCGTGTGATTTGTGGTTCAAATGACATGTTACTACAGTTTTAGGAAACCATTGTGACTAGTTAGTTTGTTTCTCCAATACATTCATACTATAGTAGTTGATCAGCGAGTTCCATTGTTGTCCTGGCAAAACACCTCAATTTAGTTCCGCCCCACCTTCCGAAAAGCACAATGTGTCCTGATTGGTCACCATGTGTTGGGATTGGTTGACTGGTTCTGGCGTGTTTGGGAAATGTCACACCCCTTACCATAACCGTGAGTCTAAACACACTACTAACTAACTCAACCAGGGGTATGTTCAAATTTTAATAAAAGTTATAATAGTGTCTCAATGATGGT